AGCAGAAGAAAGGATATCAGAGATTGAAGATCAACTCAGTGAAATAAAAAGAGAAGGCAAGATTAGAGAAAAAAGAGTAAAAATAAATGAACAAAGCCTCCAAGAAATATAGGATTATGTGAAAAGACCTAATCTACCTTTGATAGGTGTGATAGGTGTATCTGAATGTGACAGAGACAATGAATCCAAGGAAAACTCTTCAGGATATTATCCAGGAGAACTTCCCCAACCTAGCAAAGCAGGCCACCATTCAAGTACAGGAAATACAGACAATACCACAAAGATATTCCTCAAGAAGAGCAAACCCAAGGCACATAATCATCAGATTCACCAGGGTTGAAATGAAGGAAAAAATGCTAAGGGCAGCCAGAGAGAAAGGTCGGGTTACACACAAAGGGAAGCCTTTGTGTCTTGAAGTCTTATCAGACTCAGAGGATTTCTCCACAGAAACCTTATAAGGCAGGAGAGAGTGCGGGCCAATATTCAATGTCCTTAAAGAAAAGAACTTCCAACCTAGAATTTCATATCCAGCCAAGCTAAGCTTCATAAGCAAAAGAGAAATAAAATCTTTTACAAACAAGCAATTGCTGAGAGATTTTGTCACCACCAGAACTGCCTTACAAGAGTTCCTGAAAGCAGCACTAAACATAGAAAGGTACAACCAGAACCAGCCACTCCAAAAACATACCAAATGGTAAAGACCACTGACAGAATGAAGAAACTGCATCAATTAATGGACAAAACATCCAGCTAGCATCAAAACGGCAGGATCAAATTCGCACATAATAATATTAACCTTAAATGTAAACCGACCAAATGCCCCTATAAAAAGGCACAGACTGGCAAATTGGATAAAAAGTCAAAACCCATTGATGTGCTCTCTCCAGGAAACCCATCTCAAGTGTAAGGATACACACAGACTCAAAATAAAGGGATGTAGGAAGATTTACTCAGCAAATGGAGAGAAAAAAAAGCAGGAGCTGCAATCCTAGTCTCTGATAAAACAGACTTTAACATAACAAAAATCAAAAGAGACAAAGAAGGGAATTACATAATGGTAAAAGGATCAATGCAACAAGAAGAGCTAACGATCCTAAATACACATGCACCCAATACAGGAGGAGTCAGATACATAAAGCAAGTTTTTAATGACTTACAAAGAGACTTAGACTCTCATACAATAATAGCGGGAGACTTTAACACTCCACTGTCAATATTAGACAGACCAACATGACAGAAAATTAGCAAAGATATCCAGGACTTGAACTGAGATCCGGACCAAGCAAACTGAATAGACATCTACAGAAATCTCCACCCTAAATCCACAGAATATGCATTATTCTCAGCACCACATCATACCTACTCTAAAACTGATGACATAATTGGAAGTAAATCACTCCTCAGTAAACGTAAAACGGAAGTCATAACAGTCTCTCAGACCACAGTGCAATCAAATTAGAACTGAGGATTAAGAAACTAACTCAGAACCGCGTAACTTCATGGAAACTGAACAACTGGCTCTTGAATGTTGACTGGATAAACAACAAAATGAGGGCAGAAATAAAGATGTTCTTTGAAAGCAATGAGAACGAAGACGCAACATACCAGAATCTCTGGGACACATTTAAAGCAGTGTCTAGAGGGAAATTTATAGCAATAAATGCCCATATGAGAAGCAAGGAAAGATCTGAAATTGAAACCCTATCATCAAAATTGAAAGGACTAGAGGAACAAGATCAAAAAAACTCAAAAGCTAGCAGAAAACAAGAAATAACTAAGATCAGAGCAGAACTGAAGGAGATAGAGACACAAAAAACCCTTCAAAAAAAAAATCAATAAATTCAAGAGCTGGTTTTTTGAAAAGTTCAACAAAATAGACTGTTAGCCAGATTAATAAAAAAAGATGAATCAAATAGATGCAATAAGAAACAATAAAGGGGATATCACCACAGATTCCACAGAAATACAAACTACCATCAGAGATTACTACAAACAACTCTATGTACATAAACCAGTAAACCTGGAAAATGGATAAATTCCTGGACACTTGTATCCTCCCAAGCCTAAATCAGGAAGAAGTTGAAACCCTGAACAGACCAATAACAAGGGCTAAAGTTGAGGCAGCAATTAATAGCCTACCAACTAAAAAAAAGCACAGGTCAAGATGGGTTCACAGCCAAATTCTACCAGACATACAAAGAGGAGCTGGTACCACTCCTTCTAAAACTATTCCAAACAATACAAAAAGAGGGAATCCTTCCCAAATCATTTTATGAGACCAAAATCATCCTGATACCAAAACCCAGCAGAGACTCAACAAAAAAACAAAACTTTAGGCCAATATCCATGATGAACACAGAGCAAAAATCTTAAATAAAATAATGGCAAATCGATTGCAACAGCACATCAAAAAGCTTATCCATCATGGTCAAGTAGGCTTCATCCCGGGGATGCAAGGCTGGTTCAACATATGCAAGTCTATAAACGTAATCCACCACATAGACAGAACCAAAGATAAAAACCACATGATTATCTCAATAGATGCAGAGAAGGCCTTCAGCAAAATTCAACAGCCCTTCATGCTAAAAACTCTCAATAAAATACATAGCGATGGAATGTATCTCAAAATAATAAAAGCTATTTATAATAAACCCACAGCCAATATCATACTGAATGGGCAAAAACTGGAAGCATTCCCTTTGAAATCTGGCACTAGACAAGGATGCCCTCTCTCACCACTCCTATTCAATATAGTACTGGAAGTTCTAGCCAGAGCAATCAGGCATGAAAAAGAAATAAACGGCATTCAATTAGGAAAGAAGGTAATCAAACTGTCTCTATTTGCAGACAACATGATTGCATATTTAGAAGACCCAATCATCTCAGCCCAAAATCTCCTTAAACTGATAAGCAACTTCAGCAAAGTCTCAGGATATAAAATGTGCAGAAATCACAAGCATTCCTATACACCAATAACAGATTAACAGCGAGCCAAATAATGAGCAAACTCCCATTCACAATTGCTACAAAGAGAATAAAATACCTAGGAATACAACTAACAAAGGATGTAAATGACCTCTCCAAGGAGAACTACAAACCACTGCTCAATGAAATAACAGAGGACACAAACAGATGGAAAAACATTCCATGCTCATGGTTGGGAAGAATCATTATTGTGAAAATGGCCATATTGCCCAAAGTAATTTACAGATTCAACACAATCCTCATCAAGCTACCTATGACCCTCTTCACAGAACTGGAAAAAAACCACCTTAAACTTCTTATGGAACCAAAAGAGAGCCCACATAGCCAAGACAATCCTAAGCAAAAAGAACAAAGCTGGAGACATCATAGTACCTGATTTCAAACTATACCACAAGGCTACAGTAATCAGAACAGCATGGTATTGGTACCAAAACAGAGATAGAGACCAATGGACCGGAACAGAGGCCTCAAAGGCAGTGCCACACAGCTACAATCATCTGATCTTTGACAAACATGACAAAAACAAGCAATGGGGAAAGGATTCCCTGATTAATAAATGGTGTTGGGAAAACTGGCTAGCCATGTGCAGAAAGCAGAAACTGGACCCCTTTCTGACACCTTACACTAAAATTAACTCCAGATGGATTAAAGACTTAAACATAAGACCTAACACCATAGAAACCCCAGAAGAAAACCTAGGCAATACCATTCAGGACATAGGCACAGGCAAGGAATTCATGACTAAAACACCAAAAGCATTGGCAACAAAGCCAAAATAGACAAATGGGATCTAATTAAAGTCCAGAGCTTCTGTACAGCAAAAGAATCATTAGAGTGAACCGGCAACCAACAGAATGGGAAAAATTTTTTGCAATCTACCCATCTGACAAAGGGCTAATATCCAGAATCTACAAAGAATTAAAACAGATTTACAAGAAAAANAAAAAAAAAAAAAACCCATTCAAAAGTGGGTAAATGACACGAACAAACACTTTTCAAAAGACATATATGATGCCAACAAACATATGAAAAAATGCTCATCATCACTGGTCACTAGAGAAATGCAAATCAAAACTACACTGAGATACCATGTCATGTCAGTTATAATGGCGATCATCAAAAAATCTGGGGACAACATATGCTGGAGAGGATGTGGAGAAACGGGAACATTTTTACATTGTTGGTGGGAGTGTAAATTAGTTCAACCATTGTGGAAGACAGTGTGGTAATTCCTCAAGGACCTAGAAATAGAAATTCCATGTGACCCAGAAATGCCATTACTGGGTATATATCCAAAGGATTATAAATCGTACTATTATAAACTCACATGCACACGTATGTTCATTGCACCACTGTTTACAGTAGCAAAGACTTGGAACCAACCCAAATGCCCATTGATGATAGACTGGACAAGGAAAATGTGGCACACATATATCATGGAATACTATGCAGCCATAAAAAATGATGAGTTCATGTCCTTTGTAGGGACATGGGTGAATCTGGAAACCATCATTCTCAGCAAACTGACACAAGAACAGAAAATCAAACACTGAATGTTCTAACTCATAGGTGGGTGTTGAACAATGAGAACACATGGACACAGGGAAGGGAGTATCACACAATGGGGTCTGTTGTAGGGGGAATAAGGGAGGGACAGAGAGGGGTAGGGAGGATGGGGAGGGATAACATGCGGAGAAATGCCAGATACAGGTGACCGGGGGATGGAGACAGCAAACCACACTGCCATGTATGTACCTATGCAACAATCCTGCATGTTCTGCACATGCACCCCAGAACCTAAAGTGCAATAAAATATATGAGTGTGTGTGTGTGTGTGTGTGAGAGAAATCCCAAATACTTTTGGTCTCGAGTTTTTCAGATAAGGGATATTCATCCTGTATCTCAAGCCCAGAGTTCACAAACTTCATATGAGTGAAGCTCACCATCATCTTTTGCCTGGACTCCTTTAACAATACCCTATTATTCCCTTAATTTATTCAAATCCTTTCTCCACATATGCCTGACACAACAGATGTGCAATAAATACCTGATGCAGCCTGATGCATAAGGTTGCCAACATGATCTTTTAAAGCTCAAAATCTAATTATGCCACCCTAAATTTAAACCTTTCACTGGCTTCTCTTTGCTATAATGGAAATTCGTATCATTGTCTCCACATTCTAGACTCTGCCTTCCACTCTGGTAGTTGCTGTCTGTGATACTCTTCCCCTTGCATTGATTGCTAGGCTCTGTCCAGGTTCTTTAGCACAGAATGGTTTCCTGAATTTGAGTTTTTGACCAGGAAAGTCGTGATTGGGATGTTCTTCTCTCACCTATTCCTACTCTGAACTTTATTTTAAATGATACATTCTCAGAATATTTTCCTTACCCCTTAATCTGTTATCTCCTTCTAAAATATATCTTCCCCTCTGTATCACTTAGCACACTGGATATGATTATCTAAAACCTTTGGATTGCAAGGTTCCCCAAAGACTGTTCCTCTCCTGTTTCCGGTTACATCCTCAAGCACAAGGTCTGGCACATAAAAAGTACCCAAATTGAGCCACTGAACTAATATGAATAAACCAGTTTCTGATTTGATTTGACTTAGACTATCCAACTTCTCTTTCAGAGCCAAACAAAACAACCTAAAAGTTGCTTTTGTCAATGTTTGTTTACACATATTATTGCTGCCTACATAGTGACTCAAGTTCACAAACCTCTAAAAATAGAAGTCACTTAGCAATCTTCTAGTTTAAGGTCAAGAATTTTTTATGGTTCTTTAAATCATGCCGATATCCATGACAATATAATTCAAAGTCAGGAGAGTTATCTCAAACCTTTATAGGCACTGTTCTAAATTCTCATGGTCTTCATTACATCCCTGGAGCAAAATTGCAGATCACTTAAATCAGAAACTCTGTAAGTCCCACCCAATAATCTGAGTTAAAAATTTCTCCAGATGACTGTTCATGCCCACAGAAGTTTGTAAACAACTGCCCTCGATGACCAGGTCAGATCCACAGGTTGTATCCATGCTGTAACAATTAAGGATTTTAAAATTCTGGATTCTCTTGGTTAAAGGATAGGAAAGGAGATGTAGTGTTAGTTTATTTTACATCAAGTTTACCTTTAAGTCAATGAGGAAGCCTTCAAATGGTCGGTAAGGATTGTGGACAATAAGGTGGAAATTAAGTTGCTGTATAAGTAGTAGTTCATATTCTAGTATCTGTTCAAGTGCCTTCTCCTGTCCAAGAGGACTCTCCCGAAGGTTTCCAACAAACTGAGGACTAGATACATTGAATTCATCTACTTTGCAGGCCAAAAATGCACAAGTGAGCCTAGAGGAAAAAATAAAGAGGTGTAGGGGTGGGGGGTAGAAAAACATGCATATACTTTGAGAAATACCTAATTTATTTCTAAAAGTATATTCTATAATTGTCTGATATTCAAAAGTGACTGGTAGACATTGCAGGTATATTATTTTTAAAGACAGCTCTTGTTCACACTTTCATCCATTAGGAGACATAAGGCAAACTATAAAATCAGGTCCAACCAACTAATATTGCCATTGCATTCAACCATCATTCACTCAATGACAGTGTCATGCAGGACAACTTAAATATCTGGAAAAACAAATTTACTGAGGAATAAAAGTACTTTGCATCATATACATGAAGAGTTAAAAATAAAGCAGTAACCACATATACACCATATAAGCATGGGAAGAAAAGTAGGTTTAAGGAGCTCTGTGGAAGCCCATCCGTGGAAGTCTCTGAGGGCATCTGAATAAGGAATTATTATTTCAGGGACAAATGTGTGAAATTTACCTGGCCACTTCATGCTGTTCAGTATAAGAAACTAGTTAAGAAAGCTACTGCAAAAATCAAGGTTGGAAGTGAGATCAATGGCCTAATCTTAACTGGAGGAAATGGGAATCGAAAAGAGAAAACAGGTACATTGTCATTGAGAACAAGCTCTTTGATGAGTCTCATACTAATTTCATCTTTAATGATAGACACAGTGCTCAGCAGAGAGCAGAAACAAGAGACCTTTGTTCAACTGAAATGAATATGAAGCTATAGGATCCAAACACCAATTGCATGTGGAAGGAGAGGGGCCACTACAAATAATTCTCAGTCTAAACAACTGGAAATACTTAGGCATCTAACAGGGAGAGATATCAGAGAAGTACCTAACTGAGAAAAACAAAATTTGAATCTGGACAACCTGAAGTTCAGGTGCCATCAGTATCACCAAAGTACAGGTAAATAGAGATCTTAAGTTCTGAATTTAAAAAATAAAATAAAATAAAATAAAATTCAAGTCTAAATGACCTAGATTAGGAAGTCAGTTCTCTCGCACAACTCCCTCCTTCCACAAATACTCAAAGAGTATAAAGGTCTGCTTAAATGAAAACAATAAATTAGACAGACATACTCACATTATTATCCTGGGGTGATATTCCATTACTGAATTATTAAGATAAAAACGCTTGAAATACATACAAGCTGTACCCTAAGGGTTCAAAAAAAATCATCAGTATTCACAAATATTACATGTTAAATTTTGTGAAACAAAATTTACTTATGGAAAGGTTTCTTTGTAGAGATTACCCATAAAAATGCTAATACTCATTAATTCTTCTTTAATCAAAATCAATTGTGATGAATTACTACAGAAATGCCATAGCCAAAAGACCCTTTTCCCATCCTTTGGTTGTCTATCCCCAGACTACTCTGGCTAATCCTTCCTATGGTCACTGGATTTAAAAATAGGTGTGTGTGTTTCAGAATTCGGAGTATCAAAAATGCCCTGAATTAGATAAATTCAAGGAGAAAATTACAAATGTTCAGAGATTAACCAATCTTATAAAAATATTAACAAAAATACATGGGTAAGGTAATAAGCCTTCTCTCTAAAGTCACCCCATATTTTTTACATAACCATATGTCCACTCCATGATTTGTGATCACTGCTGCTAACTGAACAGCAGAAGCAGCACTACTATTTACTGAATGCATCCCATGTGCCAGACTCTAAACTATCAACATGTTTTAATCCCTACAACAGCTTTGTGAAGTATTACTATCTCTACAGAGAAGGAAACTGAGTATCAATAAGGTTAACTGACTTATCTAGGTCACACAGCTAATAAGAAACAGGAATGAAGTCAAGTTAAGACCTGCCTGTACTTTTAACCATTATATCACTTGGCTGGAACCTATAAAATAACCACTTACCTATTTTATGATAGAAAAAATATTTCCTTTTAAATATTTTAAAAGGTTAGTTTTGTCATTATTTGAAACAAAAAATTACTCACCAATCATAAGCATGTTATTTAAAGATAAATTCCATAAAGAAATTCATTAAAGGATTGTTTCATTTGATAAAATCACTTAAATTTACTGCCTCATTTTACAATTCTTTTGTAAGAATAAGCCAAATCTGAAGATAGAAACTGAGTATAACTAAAACTCTCTGAATCTTTGATATTTCATATGAAAAAAAAAATTCTATGACTTAATATTTTCCACATACTTCAATTTTTTTTCAACAATAAAAATGGAGATAATTTCCTAGAAGGTTATTCTCTAATGGGTCATAAGCCAATCACACTGTATAACTTTAAAACTTAACAGACTTCTACTTTAAGACAGACTTTTACATTTAGTCTTCACAACAATCCTGATAAAATAACGTAAAAACATTTTAAACACCTTCCCATTTCAGCTTTTTTTAATCTTTCAGCTTTTTAATCTCAGCTACCTGTTTCTCCTCACTGTTGTGCACCCCAGCAAAAAAATAAACAAACAAACAAAAAAAAAACACACAGGTCCTCAGAATCATACATCTGAAACAATAAGACAATCTTTTTAACCAAAGATAAAACTCCAGCTTCTACTAATCAAAGTTTAAAAAAACCTTACGGCATCAGTTTCAGCTGGAGCATATGATTACAAATGATGAATGAATGCATTATTTCAAAAATCTACTGGGTGTCATAGAGTTGGAAAAGCAGTAGTCTATGTTCTAGTTCTGGTTCTAAGGCTCACTAGTTGAAAACTTAAGAGGAAAGTAAATTAATTTTAATTTTCTTTATTTATAACATTACCTGACCTCAAAAAAAAAATTTTTTTTTTAACTACAAAATAAGATTTGAAATACTTTGGAAGAGATGATACAGCAATTCATGATTTACGGCCTGTATTGAAAAATATATAACGTGTCAAAAACGAATTAAATGTAACAGGTGATTTTTAAAACCAGAGTGGACCGGGAACTTAGCTACAAATTTAGAAGAGGTCAGATTTCACAAGCCAACTAAAGGACATTATATTTCATCACTACCGTAACTTACCACAACAGACCTTGGCATTGCTGGCTTAAACACTGAACAGAATTCCAGTAACCTTTTCTCATAGTATTTGCAGAGTGTCATTTCTTCATGAGGCTCAAGAAAGACTGGATCATTCGGAAGAACCTTTAGGTCAACAATTACAACACAAGTTCAGTGAATTAAACAACTGTAAAACATTTTTCTCTATCCAGATTAAATTTAGTTTATATCTCCAACGAAGGGAAATATATCACTCCTCATTTTCTCTTTATAGATTCCCCTATCATTACACAAAATAGCTTTAGAAAAATATTTAATAAACTAAAACTGTACCATCATTTCGCAACTTTTCGGAATGTCAGCTAGACCTCTGCTTCATTAAGGTATAAACAATCATGACAGACTTGTGCATATGCATACAGTTGTGATGTCATTATTTATAAATTAAAAAGTAGATACACTTAAATAAAATAAGATTGGAAAGTTTCCAACATCTGTTTCTCGGTAAGTCATTATGTCACACAAGTCGAGGGAAAAAAAAAAAAAGGCAAATGTTTCAATAAATTTCTGTTATTTTAAGCTACCCAGTTTGTGGTGATTTTTTTTTAAGGCAGTCCTTACGAAACTAATTCAGGTGCTAAAATCAGTGATTCGAAATAGATGTGAATTAAAAGTAGAAAACAAAATTATTCCGTATCAGTAATCTGGAGGCACTGAACACTTGCTGGAGTGGAGCTCGTAGTAAAGATTATACTAGTCCGAGAGCTGTAACAGAAGGGACTTGGCTAGCGGGCCATAGTCCAAACCATCTTTAGTCCATTGGTTTGTACTCGGTCTCCTGTCTCCCTCCCTCATCCAACCCATTCGCCACGAGGTTGTTTCTAGAACGGAAATCTAAGGTTAGTTTCCCATTTTAAGTATTTCAAAGGTTCCTCATCCTTTCAGCAGAAATTTTAACGTCTCACTTCCACCTACAACTTCTCTTCCTACCCTCCCGAGCAATTCCTGCACAGGTACTCAGCCTCGGCCATGTACGACCACAAACACGTCCACGCATCAGTCCTGTAATTTCTGACCTCCCTCCCACTCTGCACGGTAGCTCTGACCGCCTAGAATGTCCTTTCCCCATTTTCTCCGCATTAGCTACTGAGAAAAACCTTCCCCGACATCACCGTTTGACAAGTGAACGGCTCTTGCCAGGCACTACCTTAGCACACTACTTAGTCTCTCCTTCGCCACGTTACAAAGACTTGTCTGCCATTCGACTACAGGGACGGCGTTGTTCGTCTTTGTACCCATGGAACTGGCAAGGTGCTCGCCTGTTTTAATAGATAAGCGCATTCCGCGCCGTAGAGGCAGCGAAATGAGGGAATGAGATTGTCCTGGGAGCCAGAAGAGCTCCCGCAGCTGCTCAGAATTTAGAGACCAGGACAAACGGGCAACAGTTGGGAACCTCACCTTCCCGTTGGCAACTGCTTTGCATCTGAATTTGCGGTTGGCGTCGGCCCGCAATCTTGCCAGCTGCTCTTCACCGGAGAAAGTCCAGTGCCGCTTCTGGCTACTATTGTGGTACATGGTGAATCGTGACCCGGTGCACAGAGCCTGCAGAAGAGAACCCAAACGCAGCAACGCCGTGGCGTAAAGCAGCCGTACACCCACCGAAAATCTCGCGGAAGCCTTGGGCGTCCGGCCAGAGGGCGCGGGCGCGCTGACGTCACTATCACGTGACGAGCCCGTACGCAGTCGCATTTCCGGAACGGACTAGGAAGAGACCATATCTAGGGTTCTTTGGGACGCCCACTGAGACGTAGTGGGCGGAGCCTACGGAACGCTCCTCTTAGTGAGCCTGGAACATACCTCCGCCCCTTCCACGCAAGATTTAAAGGAGAAGTGCGGGGCGAAGAGTGTTCAAAAGGGACGTAAGCTAGGGCTATGGAGTAGGCTGTTGTAAATTCACAGGGGGTAATTAGAAATGAGGAAAGGACTTGGTAGGGCGTCAGTTTTTAAATAGAGGCCTCACTGAAGTTGACATTTGTGCAAAGGCTTGAAAGAGTTGAAATAGTAGGTTGATCAGTCATGTAGGGAGATCATGGGACCCAGAAAAATTGGTAAGATCTTCAGGCAGAAGCATTCCTAGAGCTTGTCAGGAAGACTTTGGAGACCAGCACTCTTGAAGCACTACCAAAAATCTCAGAGAATGGAGCATGGCTGAAAAACTTGAAGCAGTGGATGTGTATTGGCCCTTACAGTTCTGCCGTTTTTGTGACCTTGTCTATTCTTTCTCTGTACTCTTTTTTCCTTACCCTTCTGTTGATAGCTAGCCAATACTCTCCCCCGTTTTCGTCTCTGAAGCCAAGATGTATGGTAGTTTTAGTTTTCTTGAGATTCCCATTTTCATTTCCTCTAGGGAGACTTACAGTAAGCTATCATATTAAGATATTTACAATTTTTTAAATTAATAGGACTTTCAAAATTGCAGGTGAGATTCAAAATATACATTGATTCTGGTTTGTCACATTTAGGCATACCTTATTCTCCCACGTATTTATTATATATCCAGTCCAAAAAATGGATTTCCCTATGGCAAATAGTTTTTCTTAAAAACAAATGAAAGAGAAAGGTGATGAGGCCTGGAGAATTTAGGTCTTGAAAAGCCCACACAGGTAAAAAGAAGTGGCAGGACAACTTTAAGTCTGCTTTCTATGAAAATGCTTTTAGAGCCTGAAGAAAGGGAATCTTTTCTTTTTCATTTTTGTTGAGTGCAGTTGAGGGTAGAGTTTGGACAGTTATTTGAATCCCTCAAACTCATGCCATTTGTAGTTTATAATTTTGGAGATCCACACACTCAACATATGTGGCTAATCTGGACTTGTAAATTGGCTAAGAAACGAGAGAAAAAGAAGATTGATGGGCATGGCAAATTGATTACGATGAATTGTGAACAACCTAAAATGTTGCATACTGGGGAAAGAATAATTTAAAAGAAAAAAAATAATGGTACAAAACACAGGAAAATAAGCGATCTAGATAATTAAATGTCTATACAAAGTCTTAGACTCATGACATATATATCATATAAATCCTTTTCATTTTGTTTTACTGAAAGATATTTGACAACTCCTTAGTATTATGTAAAGGAAAATAAAAATAGGCATTTAAGAGAGTTGGCAGACTATGATTTCCACAGGGATATGAGTAAAAATTCTGAATGTCATTTAGGAAAAATATACGAAAAACCTGGCATTGCTGGTGTAACTTTTTTTAAACCTTGAACAAATTTTAGTCTATGAAAATTGACATTGATCTTATTTTTCAGATGTAGTAGGAATTGGGTTGTGTCTAAATTAACTGTCTACAGAATGCAATTGTTGCTGATGCCCTAACATTAAGGCTCACGTCTGATTTTTCTTATTAAAGTAAGCACTGGATGCTGTATTAGTCAGCCTGAGTGACTGTCTCCTACTCAGCCTGTTGTAAAGCAGTGTTTCTTGGCTGTTGCTAACACAGGAGGCATACTGGAATGCAGAACCTGTGCCTTTACCTGTTTCCATTTATAGTTTCAACTAAAAAGTAGCAAGTGTTTCTCTTCACTTCTATTATTTTATTTATGGAAAATTTCAAATATGAAGAATACAGAGAAACATATTTCAAAAATTATCAATACATGGCCACCCACACCTCCATTAGTTTCTTTTTTTTTTTTTTTTTTTTTTTTGAGACAGAGTCCTGCTCTGTTGCCCATGCTGGAGTGCACTGGCACAATCTCCGCTCACTGCAACCTCTGCTTCCCGGGTTCGAGCTATTCTCCAGCCTCAGCCTCCTGAGTAGCTGGGACTACAGATGCATGCCACCACGCCCAGCTAATTTTTGTATTATTAGTAGAGAGGGGGGGTCTCACCATGTTGGCCAGGCTGGCCTAGAACTCCTGGTCTCAAGTGATCCACCTGCCTCAGCCTCCCAACTCCATTAGTTTTAAATCATAATTTCCCTGCTACTAAATGAAGATGTTTCAGACAAGAACAAATCAACTAACCATACAGAACCTATTCTTCCTAGAAGAGTAATAGGGAAATTCACAGCTTGTTGACAAAGATATTACTATGTATTAGACACTACTCAGAAGTGAAATGTTAACAAAAAACATTTCAATGACTTTTGAAAATAAATATAATCTCTTTTATTGTGCTGCAGTTGTTAAACTGTGCTATGATGTGTACTTGCAGATAAATTCTAAATATTTAGACTTGGAGGCATTACTATAAACTAAGGGTTGCCAATCAGAGATCAGGTGATGCCAAACAGGTGTCATCTGTTTGGCTACCATAAAAATGCCCTGTACTTATCCACATGTTATTCCAAAATTTCCCATGAGGGTATTAGGAGTTCCTTTCTCTTTGGGCTCTACCTAGTGATCTTGACATTTAGGGAAAAACAAAAATAAACAGGTCACACTGTCTGATCTTAGGAGAAACGGAAGAAAAGAGAAATTAAAAGGTTGTGGGAGTGACCAGTAAATATGTTTGCAACTGGAATAATTTTGCAGTCTAATACAAAACATCTTATAAAATGGTCAGATTCATTTATGGTTCTCATTTCCCAAACATATCAACATACTCATATTCACATTTCTGATTGCAGGGCCACAAAGAAAAAAAGGGATAATAGAGACTAAACCACATCTATGCTCACAAAAACACACAATATCTTTCTTACTTTAAAATCTGACATAAAACCGTATGCCTTCAGCTACTGACATGGATTTCTGACATTTAAAATACAGTGTTGCAATGAGATTTAATAACCCTTTGCAATTGTATTTGGTTAATACACAATTAGCAAATTCGTATTTGTTGCACTGGCTTCAAAATCCTTTCTTAGTTTTATTCTCAGTTGTCAAGTTACAGCTAAGAGAAGAAAAGGAGTCACCTGAAGTAAATACCTAGTTTCTAGAAAACAAGGTACTACTAAAGGAAAAGGAATAAAAAGAAGAAATGGCATTTTTAAAATATCATTGATATATGTGACTCCCTCAAAACTGAAATGCTTTTTCTTTTGCTTTAAGACTATTACAAATTAAGGCATAAAGAAAACATGACAACATACTAAAGAGAAAATCCTATAAAGCCATCCTCAATTCATGAGATACTTACTAAATCACTGCTATACACAAGGCCTAGTGCTATTTGTTAGGTGGTAGTGACATGGTGATGGGGACACAAGAATGATTATCTCACAGTTACTATCCCAGGGTCCTGAGATAATAGTAGAATTATGACATGTATGTATACAATCCCCTCTCAATGTAACCTTGAATAGCGCTGACATACACTCTCTTCTCTGACCAAAACTTTAGTTAGGCTTTTCTCTGAGTCCTCTGCTTGACGAGGCCTGATCTTGGTGTTTCCTCTAGCACAGATGCTCCTCGACGTAGGATGAATTTACAATGAAAAAAAAAAAAAAAAAAAAAAAAAAAAAAAAAAAAAAAAAAAAAAAAAAAAAAAAAAAAAAAAAACATCATAGGTTGAAAATATTCCAAGTGGAAAGTGCACTTAATATACCTAACCTATTGAACATCATAGTTTAGCGCAGCCTGCCTTAAGCATGCTCCTTGTGATTGCATGGCTGACTGAGAGCATCAGCTCACTGTCACTGCCCAGCACCAGGAGAGGGTCTTGTATTGTAAAATCACTAGCCTGAGAAAAGAGCAAAATTCAAAATAGGAAGTATGTTTCCATTGAATACGTATGGCTTTCACATCATCATAAAATCAAATCATTGTAAGTTAGGAACCATCTACAGAAGCCAGTTGGAGCAAGAATCCTGCCACATCACTTTAATGAATATCCCTCACCCTTGGCATCAGACCAAGCTCAATATCTTATCACCATGGCCTGCCTTCAGCAATAATCCTGTCAGGTCAGTTTAGCCAGAAATCCTTTATCCTTGATGTTTCCTCTTAGTAATTTTTCATCCATTGCTCCCCGCCCTGCTTTTTGGTTATAAATTCCCACTTGTCCTTACGGGAGTTAGAGTTGAGTCCAATCTCACTCCCGCATTGCCAGACCTTACTGCAGTAGACTCAAAACCTATCTCCATAGCTGGCTTTGAAAAGGTCTGTCTCACCATTCTTCACAAGTGTCATTCATAAAGCATTCTTGAGAAAGTCACTTCAAACTATCTACCCTGAGTTTCATCTCTTACACAGTGAAGTAAATAGTTGTAGCTACCTCATAAGGTGGTTGTGATGATTAAATTATTTAATACATATGAAGATATAGCAGACTGGTTGGCTTCTATAAAATGTTCTAAATTGTTAGTTATTATTTCATTGACACATGGCATAGGCTAATTGGAAAGTATAACATTTTCGTGAATTTGTATTGATGTTGAGGGAGAGAGCACTGTAGGTGGATAGGATCTGCTTGAATAAAAGCAAAGAGGCACAATGTACAGGGTATGTCAAAAGAATAGGAAGTAAAAAGCTTGATTGATTGGAGAATAAGAGGGCTTTGAATGCCAAAATTTTCAATTGAAGAATAAAATGATCATCGTTTCATTACTTTAATCTGGAAATTATTTGTGGCTATTTTGATAGTGAAGACTTTATAAAGCCCTCATTAAAATAAATTGAAATAGAATAGACGATTAATTCTGCAAGTGATACCCAAATGCCTCTTCTTGAACTAGCTACATGAGATTCAGGATTATAAAGGGGAATTCCTCTCTGTATCTCCAAATAGAGAAATAGGTGGTATATCATGTATATCACACAACATATGCTCTATGAGATGTAACCTATCCATATAATATATTCTTGTGTGAAATTATGAAGCAGGGCCTAGGAATTTTGGTTTATAAAAATCTTGATTGAAAGTTTTGCAAATATAAAATTTACAGTACTTGGCAAAGTCCTACAGGACTGATAAGGTGATGGGATGAAAGAGGAACAGCAACTCTAAAGTAGTGACTTTCAAATATGGATCAACATATCAATCACCTGGAGCATGTTAAAACACAAACCAGTAATTCCAATACAGTGAGTCTGGAATGGAGCCCCAAGAATCTGCCTCCTTTTTTTTTCAGATGAAGTCTCGCTCTGTTGCCCAGGCTGGAGTTCAGTGTCATGTGATCTTGGCTCACTGCAACCTCTGCCTCTTAGGTTCAAGTGATTCTCCTGCCTCAGCCCCCTCAGTAGTTGGGATTACAGGCACGAGTCATCACGCCTGGCTAATTTTTGTATTTTTAGTAGAGACAGGGTTTCACCATGTTGTTCAGGATGGTCTCGAACTCCTGTCCTTGTGATCCGCCTGCCTCAGCCTCCCAAAGTGCTGGAATTACACGTGTGAGCCACTGCACCCAGCTGAATCTGATCCATAAGTGTTATCTTGAATTTGGTGATTTTCAGGGTATAGTGTTCATCATACTCATGGAAAGCTTGTTAAAACACAGATTGCTGAATTTCTAATTCAGCCAGTCCTGGGCAGGCCCAAGCATTTGAATTTCTAACTAGTTTCCACATAATACTGGGAACATGAACCACCACAGTTTGAGAACTGCTACTCCAGCTGATTTATATAGCCTGGGTAATGGGGAGAATGATGGTGTCCTTATCGTCAAGAATCTTCACCTTTTCTATTAGGTTGAAGAAAACCATACTTTTATTCCTTGTTACCTTTTAAGAGAAAAAAATGGAGATGTTTAATCATTTGTTGGCCTTATACAGACAACATGACCATGGTGAAATGTAATATCCATTTGAAAAAAATGACTAATAACATTCTCACTGGATAAATAAAAGGTGAAGAAAAAATTTATTCTCTCACAGTTGAATTGAAATATCCTTTTGTCATAGAGTAATAAAAATTATCAACTGCTTTGTTATTCTTCTGATGTTTTAACATCGGGACTTTAGATGATAAAGATAATTGCAAGGATACTTTGTTCTTGTCGTTGTTGATGCTCTATGGACAGGGGGCAGCAAAATGTGAATTTGGCTCACAGGCCAAATTTATTCAATGTCCATTTTTGTATGGTCTGCAAGCCAAGAATGATCTTTACATTTGTAAGTGGTTGAAAAAAATCAAAAGAAGAGTAGTATTTCATGACTCATGAAAATTATGCAAAATTCAAATTTTAGTGTCTATGATTGTATTGGAATCCTCCAGAGAAACAGAACCAATAGGCCAATAGGAGTTATGTGTGTACATGTGTGTATACATATACATATGTATATGTATACACACATGTATACCAACTCCACTATCCAAAATAATACATAATATTTTGGATAGTGGAGTTGGTTCACACAATTATGGAGGCTGAGAAGTCCCATGATCTGCTGACTGTAAGCTGGATACCCAGGAGAGCTGATTGTTTAAGTTCTGATCGAAATGTAAGAGAAGATCAATGCACTATCACAAAAACAGTCACACACCAAGAGAAAATTCTTCCTTATCTTTTGTTTCATTTAAACTTCCAATACATTGGTTATGGCCCCAAAACATTGGGGAGGTTAAACTGCTTCACCCTCCTTACTGGTTCAAATGTTAATTTCATTTATAGACTCTTCACAGACACACCCAGAACAGTGTTCAATCAAATATCTGGGCACCCCATTGTCCCCAAATCTATCCCTTCTCAGCTTGGCATTCATACACATCTCCTTAAATCATATTTAATCTCCAAATAAACATAATAACAGGCTCATAATTCCACTTCACATAATACAACTATCTCACGTACAACTGAATATGCATTACCCATTCCCTAGAAAAGGAGGTAAAGTTCTTCATGTTTACTTTTCTCCTTGACATCCTGTAACTTAAAAAATACTATGATGTAAAAAAAGTACTATGAACAATACTTATGTATCATGCTAATAAATCAATACATTATATGTTACATAATAAGGGAATAAGACAGGGAGAAAAAGGTATTTACTATACACACATGAAGATTTCACAACAAAATAAGGGGGAATAATCATAACAGTCTTCATTTATGTAACTGTTTACATGGTTGTAGCTGATATTTACAAACACCTTCTTTCACTATCCTGTTTTTTGTTTCTTTCTTTCTTTGCCTTTAGCAAGCCCCTCAGCCGGTTCTTTACCTGGTCAAGTAACCCAAGCCTTCATTCCTAACGGGTCTAGGACATTAGGAGTTTTGCCTGGATTGGGTTATAATTTTACATTGACCTTAATTTACTGGACATGTAGTACAGAGGGGCATCCTACAAGTTTTACTGCATTTCAGATATACTCAACCTTGCTCAGTAGCAGTCGCATTTCCCTTTGCTAGTTCTGATCAATCACGGCAGACAGCACAGCAACTCTCATCTTTGCTTGTTGATTCAGAGGCACAAGGAGTTCATAGTGGCTGGGCAGCAGTTTTATTAATTAATTTATTTTTCAAGGGAACACTTCATGAATTTGCAGTCATCCTAGCTCAGGGGCCATGCTAATCTTCTCTGCAATGTGCCAATTTTAGTATATGTGCTGCTGAAGTGAGCACAGTTTTCATTGTTGTGTCTCCTAGTGGAAGCGTTTCTCCCTCAGGAACTAAGACTTTTAGGCTAGTAGAGCATAAAGGTCATGGGAACAGGAAGCAAAAATTTTATTAGCGGGTCACTAGGAGTAATGGTGAATAAATTATTTCTCATTTCTGCCCCTTATTCCTGGAACCATGAATTTGCTGTGGAAGAAACAGCTCTATTTACATATTAGATATTGATTCAGAGAATGTGTAGCCTCAGCACTGCAAAATATTACCACCTAGCTGGTTGCTGTAACTAAGTTCTCCAAAGGCCATTCCACTGTTCTATCAAGCCAACTGTTTCAGGATAGTGGGGAACACAATAAGGCCTATACATTCCGTGAGCATTGATCCATTACCATACTTCTTTTGCTGTGAAGTAAGTTCCTTAGTCAGAAGCAGTGCTGTGTGGAATACTGCGCCAGTGGATAAGGCATTCTGTAAGTCCAGGATCACAGTTTTGGCAGAAGCATTGCATGCAAATCCATACTCAAGATAAGTTTCTGCAGTTCCTACTCTAAGGTCTTGCTTATAGAGAAGAGCCATCAAAGAGCTCTTCAAGGATGCCAGGGTCCCCCTCACATGTTGATTTCACAGTCCTGGTGAAAGTTTGTTTTTTGGATCCTTCCAATGTGGGTGGATAGGTCTTACATGACAAATCCACTCTAACATTTCAATCTCCCTAAGGGTTTGTATCTCTTCCTCTGCATTATTCCAAAGCAAGTCTGACATTTTCAATTCACTTACTGTGGGCCATCTTTTAGAACCTGATTCAGCCAATCAACTGAACAAATTCATGATGCCCTTTCTAGCACTCTGAGCTGTAACATTAAATGCAGGCTATGCTTAGTGAGTCCATATCAGTAAATTCAGCCTGATCTAACTTTATGCTCCTTTATTCCACATTCTTAGTATTCATTCCCACACATTGTTTCCTGGACTTCTGTCTGTATAATTAGAGAACTCAAGCAGCTCTGTTGAAGTGAAGTGTACTCTCTCATGAGTCACACTTTTTACCTCATCTTTAGGGGCCTGCTGGGACTTGATTCTTGTTATAGGTCTAGAAACAAAGAGAGTGGGTCTTAAGGACAGTCAGCATTATCTTGCATGGCAACTGTCTTGTGGGAGGCCATTAAACTTTCCTCAGGTAATGCAGGGTTAATCTCCTCAGACTGGATTTAAAAGGCTGATGCCATCGATAGTAGGGAGGCCACAAACACTGGGGAATGGGGAGGCTGTTTCACTGGGGATGGGGAGACCACACCTTCTGGGGGTGGGGAGGCCTCCTCCGCTAGTGAAGAGGATCAGAATTTAGGGGCACAATGTCTCCAACTTTGTCAAGGTCTTCCCACACATCCTCATCCCAACTAACAGGATCTTATTCTTTCCCAATCAATGCCCACACCTTAACAGTAGACATTTGGCAAGGCTGGGAATTTATAATAACTTGAATGGTAATTTAGCCTGGAGATGGTATTCTGCGTTTGATTTTCAACTTAGCCCTTTGGCTTTAGGAGGTAAGGGTCTCCTCTAGGACACATATAGAAATTTTCAGGTCATTTATGTGGTACTCGAGCTGTGAATTTGAGTCCCTTAGCTCATTCTTTTCCTTCACCACTTTGTCCAGCAACATTGGAACAACCAGCCGCCAATCTTATTGTATTGATTAGTTTTCCAAAAAAGCTTGAAAGCACCATATACACAGTCACCCAGCTTGTTGCTTCTTGTAAGTGGTTGATTAAGAGTGTTCAGTGCAGATATTTTGTGTATCTCTGCTACCAGTTCACATGGTGCAAAGTGTTTGGTTGAACATTGTTTTGGGTGTGTCAGTAAGGACCTTTATAGATGAGATTAACATTTGAATCAGTAGACTAAGTGAAGCAGGCTGCCCTCCGCAATGTGAGTGGGCCTCAGTCAACCCAGTGGAGACCTGAATAGCACAAAAGGTGGAGTAAGGGAAAATTCACTGTCTGTCAGACTGCTTTCTTCTCCTGCACTTCAGCTGAAAACCACGCCAATAGTTCTCCTGGTCCTTAGCCTCATACTGGAACTATACCACTAACTCTCCTGGGTCTTCACCTTGTAGAATGCAGATCCAAGTCATGAGACTTCTCAGCCTTCATAATTATGTGAGCCAATTCCTTATAGTAAATATAAACAAAGGAGCATTGATAGTCCATCGCATTCTACAAGGTGAAGACCCAAGAAAGTTAGTGGTAACAGTTCCAGTGCGAGGCTAAGGACCATGAGAACCAATGGTGTGCATTTCAGCTGAAGTGCAGGAGAAGAAAGCAGTCTGACAGACAATGAATTCTCCCTTACTCCACCTTTTGTGCTATTCAGGCCTCCAATGGATTGACTGAGGCCCACTCACATTGTGGAGGGCAACCTGCTTCACTTAGTCTACTGATTCAAATGTTAATCTCATTTACAAAGGTCCTTACTGACACACCCTGAACAACGTCCAACCAAGCACCTTGCACCATGCATTCCAGTCAAGTGAACATAAAAACCATCACTTTAGTGAGTGTTATTTAAACAAAGCCATACTTGTTCTTTTCCATATTGTCATCTTTGGCTGTTTTCAAGCTACAGCAGCAGAGCTGAGGAGTTGAAACAGAGACCATTTGGTTTGCAAAACCCAAAATATTTGCTATCTGACCCTTTACAATAAAACTTTGCTCACTAATGTTCTAAAAGAGTGCTTTTCACATTTTAATATATGTACAAATCAACTGGGGATCTTGTTAAATTGATTCAGATTTAGTAAGTCATAGCCAAAATTTTCCATTACTGTCATGCTCCTGCGTGAGGCCAGTGCTGCTAGACTGAAAATTGTACATTCTATTTCTCAATTTTTGCACTTGTCATAATCCCTAACTATAATGCCTTAAACTCCTGCGTATGCAGCTTCTCTTTAGGTCCATTGAACTTAAATCCTGTTACTTCTATTTATTCTCCAAACTATATCATCTTATTGTAAGCTCTTCTTCCTTATTACACTTACTTTGTTTCACATTTTTAGGCTTTAAATGTATTTTGTGTTGCTTAGTTGTTTGACTTTTTAATATGTGACTATTTTAACACCTTCAAAAGTTTTAAACTTTGGATATTCTGTTTTTAGACATCTATTACCTATTATGCTTGCATAGTTTTTTACATATAGAAGGTATTCTCAAGATATTTACTAAATTAATTACTGTTCCACACCTAGAAAGGAAAAAGTTAAATCAACAGTACATCATCACAGTACATGAAGTGATACTCTTGGCCATTAATACATTTTTAGAACTAATTCATTTTTTCTCTTTAATAATTTTGATAAATTTCAGTGGTAAGAATTATGTTTCTTTCTGAACAAAAGACAGTATTGAAGTAAAATACAACTCTTTGGATTACTATATTAAATCAGGCTATAGAACTGAAACTTAAACTTGTCTTGAGCCTTGAGATGAAAAGTACACCTTAATTATGAACTGAAAAACTGCTTATTGTGCAAATTTTCTGGAGGTTGGAGAATTAGAAATGCAATGTTAATTTCACTAGTTTAATCATTTCATTTTCAGAGTTTACTTGAAGAGATATTGATAAATTGTAATAGCCAATCATGTATGAAAGTTTACAGACTATGAAAATGTTTTATTTTGCCATTAAAAATTCCACAGTCCAGCTTTTGAAGAGAATTATGAGTAATTTAAATAAGATGAGAAACTTCTGCTGTCATAAAGATTAGCCAATTTACTTTGCTCTTCTTCTAATCAATTTAAAATTTCTACCTGAACTATTTCAGTATATTCCAAGAAAAAAAGTAGTATGAATATAAAGCTTCTTTCAAGGAATCTTATATATCGATGTAAAAGGCAGTTACAAATGTTTGGCATTTTATGAATTTTTGAGTTTTTTTTTTTTTTTTTTGAGATGGAGTTTTACTCTCGTCACCCAGGCTGAAGTGCAATGGCGCGATCTCAGCTCACTGCAACTTGCGTCTCCCGGGTTCAAGCAATTCTCCTGCCTCAGCCTCCTGAGTAGCTGGGATTACAGGCACCCACCATTACCAGGCCTGGCTAATTTTTTTCTTTTTTTTTTTTTTTAGTGGAGATGGAGTTTCACCGTGTTCGCCAGGCTAATCTTAAACTCCTGACCTCAGGTAATCCACCCACCTCAGCCTCCCAAAGTGCTAGGATTACAGGCATGAGCCACTGAGCCCAGCCAACTTTTGAGTTCTTAAAGCAATAGTCTCTATATCCTTTACCCCAAAATAAATATAATAATTTTATTACTTAATACCTTTTGGACTTAATAAGTGAAAATAAATATCTTTTTAAAATAAATGTTATATGCAAGGAAATGTTATAAGGGAATTTCACATTTAAGTATTATATTAGGTTTGAATAAGATATTGGAATTCTAAATATTTTCATACATGAATATATATTTTTCTGCTGATCAACCGATTAATTTTGTTTTTTTAAAATTTATTTCTAAACTAATATTGTCATGTTAACAAAAACCAAGATCAGAAGGAAAAAAGCAATGAGCCAACTTGGTACATCACAGTTTATCCACATGGTGGAGCCATGTGGCTAAATCCTGGAGACACCGATTTTATCATCCTCATCGTTTTGTAATAACTCATGATAAATCCAACCAACCACGTTTCTTCTTCCTTCATGTAGTTTTCTCTGGTTCTCTCAGTTTAGTTCCTTATCGTCACCCATTGTAGCAGAGCGCAGTCTTATTCTTTTCCAGTCTGTCTTTTATAGCAGTGATTTGCTAATCTTAGCTGCACATTGGTAACTCCTGGGCAATTTTCACCAACCCTCGAGCAGAGGGCCCTACCTCAGGCTAATTGAGCAGCAATCTGCAGGGTGGGTTCTGGACATTGGCACATGTTTAAAGTCTCCGTGTGTGATTCTATCTGAAAACAAGGTTGAAAACCAGTGCATGCTACCACTGCAGACATCGTTTCAGTTATAAAT